TAGGTTAACTATGCGGATTGATTTACAGAAACTTTTAAATATGTATGACCTGAATTTGTAATGCATTGGCGTACCGTAAGTCTAACCCTTGACTTTGGATACACTTCTCTGATAATGCAAAATCTGAATGTCTACTAAATGTCCCTCTCTTGTTTCATGGTAGCCTAAATGTCACAGTGTGTGCTAAATTCTTAGATCACAGTAACAGATAGGAAATGGTCTACAAATTGTTGTAATCAGATAAAATATTTAAAATATCGATTGGAGAATTTGATAAAGGTAGGACACATTAAAATGCACTTAACATAATCTTGTAATCAAGCTTATAATTGAATTGTTTTCAGCTAATCCACAAAGATGATCTATATATTTAATACGATACAGGTTGTCACTGTAACATACCCTTTTTATCCGTTCTATCTAACCAATCTTTATAATTGAGGTGTCATTTTGACGCTTATTATCTAGCGGAGATAGGAATGGAAACTAAACAATAATTCCCTTTGGGAGTTCCCGACTTGTGCACAACTACCTGTCACGACATATTTAAACATCCAACTTGCGCTAGGCACTTACAAGTATCTCATCCGACTTGCACCAGCCATTCATCGACAAAATCTAAAAAGCGCCGGATGTAATGACATAATAATCTCCCTAGTGAAAATACCGTGAAAATTGATAGGTAAACACTGTTGTTTTAAAGTGATCTAACATAGCTTGGCGTTATAGTGGGAAAAGTTGTTGTGACAAAAGATTATGTCAAGCTATGATGAATAGGTTAGGTTAGATTAGGATATGTTATGTTAGGTAGATTCTTATATTATCAAAACCTCCCCTGAGGCAGCAGACCTCCAGCCTTAGGCAACAATATCGTTTTAGAACACTTGATTACCCAATTAGTCAGCCTGACTGGACGGTGCGCAAGTCGGACTTGGTGAAATTTGTCAAGCCCACGTTGGTGACCCAGGATGTCACGCAAGTCGCATAAGCCCTTCCCTTTAGGACTTCGCCCGATTCATTTCTAGAGTTTACGTTCACAGATCCAGTGAACTAACTGTTTTTAAAATTTCTAAATGTGAATTGTAATTTATCAGCTACTTTTAATGCATTTTTAGCAGATTTTAAACTAGAGACGAAATAATGTACGAAAATGGATTTTATTTTATTTGTAATTATCATTGTAGCCTGGTTGAGGTTGGTTAATCACTCTTTGTCTTTATAGTATTGATCAACAATTAACAAATTTAATTTACTGTAAAATAGGAGTTTTATTTACATAATATCTTAAACAAATACAATCATTGAAAAATGAAAGATAATTTAATTATTTGATATCCATTGGAAGCCAGTTTTGAACCATATTAAATGCACAATTCGAGCAAAGGCCCCCTCCTAATGTGAAGGAATAAGTTCAACCTATGACCAAACTTAATTTCCACTTTATATTTTTACCTGCTTTTTGCCAGAAAAGCCAAACTTTGCTGATTTCGTAAATAGATAAATATAGGTTCAGCGTAGCTTGAATGATTCTTTCCAGTGATTTTCTTAATTGACGTCGACCATCGTCGTTGACGTTATTACTAGAGTAGAACTCCTTCACCTCAAGCCTGGGGAATTCTGTAGTTGACGTTACGGGAATTCACTTAATGGGTTAGCGTGTCTGACTTTTTGTCAAAGTGTTCACATTCAGTAAGAATTTTTGGGCGAGTTGGCCTCAATAAGAATCAATGACAAATTATCAGTGATGGAAAATTCAAAATCTAAGTAACATTTAACATAACTCTTGGTTAAGCTGAAGACAATGATTACCTTGTATTTTTAGTGTAGTTTCAAGAACTTGTTATAGTTAAGTTACATTTTTATATTGCTTTTATAGTAAATACTCTGAAGATGCCTCAAAAAGGCGAAATTCGCATCAATCAACCTAGTATCAACAACCTAGAGCCTAGTAGTATAAGCAACCTAGTAGTTTTCTCTGGTTTACTTAGAGGAGGTTCTATTGATTAGGGTACTTATTATTTCTTGTTGTTGAAAAAAATGTTACTAAATATATCAACGAATTTCCAAACTATTGTTTGTCTCTAGGTATCCCTGAGCTGCATGACTTATCATTTTTGATCAATAAAATATTAAGGGGTTTCTACCCTGTATACTGAATATTTATAGGGGCAATATATTGCATAGTGTACTCGTATATTCATATAGTAATATGTAAAGTGTAAAATTTTATGGTAGCTAGGTCAAATATTGTATAATGACCGGTGTATTGCATGAAATATTCAAATATTGTAAACCTTCTTGCATGAAGAAAACGATTTTTATTCTTTAATTGACTAATCACTTAGCTCGCTTAGCTTTTTTTAAGAGAGTGGAGGCCTAATTTTACCTTTCATACACATGGGAACTTATCCTTTTAGCTAATTATGGGGCGGTATTGGGGTAGGTGCCTTGTTTTCACTTAACACAATTTCCTTTGAACTCCTCTTGGTTGAGTTAAAACTCGGGAATAATTAGAAGGTCGTTAAATATCTATAAGTAGGTGTTTGTTTGCTGATTTTAAAGTGTTATTTTTCTGTTTTGTATTTACAACAGTGTAAAAGATTGTGCTTAGTAGTTCAACAACGAAATGTTTGTTTTACAAGGAATTATACAACGATCGTTTTAAGCTTCTTGTTTGTGAAGCCAAGAAGTGGCTAGTTAAGGTTATATCTCTCTATGTTATTTATTTAACACTCCTTGGAATCGTATGACATTGTTTTGTACTATTTATGACACTGATGATATGTTTGTAATTGTAATTTAATAATCTGTTGGTAGAGATTTATAATTCTTTCTGAAGACATTTCATAAATATATGCTTTTTGGTTTACGCTGAACTATTGCGTTGTTTACTATTTGTTTATCATCATTTGACCAAACGTAAAACTGTTATGGCTGAATACAACACTCGATTGGCAAACTATTGTATAAGATAGTAAAGCAAAAATCATAAAATTTATTCTTGATTGCAGAGAAATGCTTAGTCGACATCAGCGCAATCAAATGTAAACAAATAACACACATCATAGCTTCAGATTTGACAATATGAAAAGTAACGAAAGCTTGTGCTTTAAAAGATATCTGCTACTATATTAAACAAACAAATGTCAAGGATATTGCAAAAATGTAGCTATGTAGCTACCGTTTGGCTCACAGACAAGTTTAGAAGAGGAACGATAAGACAAATTTACTATAAGGAAAGCCAACAAGGATAAATCAGAAACTTGATGATAGGTCCGGAGTCATTTCCGTTCCTCATGTCGTCAAATGTTAGATTTTTCTATCATACTATAATTTTTTCTCAAAGCTCACTAAATATTTTTAAATAAAATGTCATGTGTAACTGGTAAAATTTAATTTTCAAGCTGTCTTTGGGTATATTTCATCGTTATATTTGATTTATTTACATTTTATAAATTCGTAAACATTGACACTGAAAAAAAGACTTTGGTTTGAAAAATAACAATCACAAATTGAAACTCATCCTGTATTGCGTCGAAGGTGTTGTTAAATTAGCCTATGCCAATCTGACAATGACTCTGTTTTATTCAGGGCTAAAGACACCGCCCTTGTCAATCGAGATGTTTTTGTTCTCAAATTTTGACAAAAAATACTCAGGGTTGCTTGAAAAAGACACGTGAAGTCTGAAAGGACAACGCCTAGTCTGGGCATCCTACAGCAAGTCCGTTGACAACTCATCGATTAGTAAAAAGTCAAGGTTGTCAATTCCAATTATACTCCAGGATAAAAAGCAGTAAGAACTTTGTTGTGAATAAAGGTTGTATACGCAGGTTACAAAGTTGTTGTTGACGTATATTATGATAAACTAGTTGATGTACCCGTGCTTTGCAACGGGAAGCGAAATATGTTTCACAATCATTGACATAGATTTAGGATAAACAATCTATGATAAAGTTTTAGATTAAATAATCCTACCACATAGTTTTGTAAAATATATTTAATTTCTTTGAATCAGCTGTCTGAAATTGTGAAATGAGCATTTGGCAGTTCCTCTTGTTTACATTGAAATGTGATATCAAAGATAAACATGATGATTTTTCTCATTCTGGAGACCAATCAATATTTTCTTCTGAAAATCTCACCTCAAAACTTTGGACATGCAAGGGGCGAAGCCCGAGGGGGCATTCAACGAAGTGAATAGGTATTTGACGTTTCTAGGTATGTGGACCATCTTTGTGTTTAATTTTGTCTATATTGGTTTAGTATTTTAGTCGTGACAGCCGCCCAAACACAGACAGACAGACAGACATTCCCTCAATTTTATTAAATAGCATAGATAGATAGAGATGTGCTTCCTAGTTCAATACATCAGTTAAATAAAAAGTCAAGACCCCCATCTAAAAACTTTTTAGTAGATATACAGAAATATCCTGTTGATGGGCGTGCAAACTTAGTAGGAAGTTTCAGAAGACATCAAGGGAAGAAGTTGGAATGTACAAAATATTTTTGTTTAAATAGCAACGGGTTCATATGCTCTGAGAGAAGCTGTTCTGTAAACTGACCTGGGGAAGAAAGTGTAATACCCAAAGTTAAAACGATTTTAATTATAGACATACAGGGTAAAAAGGAGGAATGTCCATCGTACTCGGACTGTAACATATTTATTTTGGGAGCGTTTGAAAACACTTAAACACTGTTTTCCCGAATTCGCGTTATTGCTCAGGTGTATTCTTATGATTTAAAAACTTTGAGTGTCCTCCAAAAAAGGGTATTTTGGGAGCAACTAATTTTTTTTTAGATGTAAACCCCCTTCAAGTACACCTAATGTTTAAGTATTTACAAAAACTTAAAGAATGATGTAAACTATCTCTTCTCTATCCAAAGTCTTAGCTCACTTATTAGTTACTACCCGTAACTTACTATTTGTTACGGATTTTACCAATAATAACGTAAACAAACCACAACATAACGCAAATATTGTCTATAATTCAAGGACTCACTCTGAACGGCCCACAGGGTGGAGTTAGCCAAAGCCTCAAGGTACATTCTGCTGTGAAGGTTGCACTCTGCGTTAGTCTCTGAGGTAGGGGCGAAGTCTGCCAACCCTTCTGACAAGGCTTGGGAAACCCAGCGCACCCTAGTGCCATCTGTAACACCACAGAGTATAGTTAGCCAAAGCCTCAAGGTACATTCTGCTGTGAAGGTTGCACTCTGCGTTAGTCTCTGAGGTAGGGGCGAAGTCTGCCAACCCTTCTGACAGGGCTTGGGAAACCCAGCGCACCCTCGTGCTGCCATCTGTAACACCACAGAGTATAGTTAGCCAAAGCCTCAAGGTACATTCTGCTGTGAAGGTTGCAATCTGCGTTAGTCTCTGAGGTAGGGGCGAAGTCTGCCAACCCTTCTGACAAGGCTTGGGAAACCCAGCGCACCCTCGTGCTGCCATCTGTAACACCACAGAGTATAGTTAGCCAAAGCCTCAAGGTACATTCTGCTGTGAAGGTTGCAATCTGCGTTAGTCTCTGAGGTAGGGGCGAAGTCTGCCAACCCTTCTGACAAGGCTTGGGAAACCCAGCGCACCCTAGTGCCATCTGTAACACCACAGAGTATAGTTATCCAAAGCCTCAAGGTACATTCTGCTGTGAAGGTTGCACTCTGCGTTAGTCTCTGAGGTAGGGGCGAAGTCTGCCAACCCTTCTGACAGGGCTTGGGAAACCCAGCGCACCCTCGTGCTGCCATCTGTAACACCACAGAGTATAGTTAGCCAAAGCCTCAAGGTACATTCTGCTGTGAAGGTTGCACTCTGCGTTAGTCTCTGAGGTAGGGGCGAAGTCTGCCAACCCTTCTGACAGGGCTTGGGAAACCCAGCGCACCCTCGTGCTGCCATCTGTAACACCACAGAGTATAGTTATCCAAAGCCTCAAGGTACATTCTGCTGTGAAGGTTGCACTCTGCGTTAGTCTCTGAGGTAGGGGCGAAGTCTGCCAACCCTTCTGACAGGGCTTGGGAAACCCAGCGCACCCTCGTGCTGCCATCTGTAAGTAACACCACAGAGTATAGTTAGCCAAAGCCTCAAGGTAAATTCTGCTGTGAAGGTTGCATTCTGCGTTAGTCTCTGAGGTAGGAGCGAAGTCTGCCAACCCTTCCGACAGGGCTTGGGAAACCCAGCGCACCCTCGTGCTGCCATCTGTAAGTAACACCACAGAGTATAGTTAGCCAAAGCCTCAAGGTACATTCTGCTGTGAAGGTTGCACTCTGCGTTAGTCTCTGAGGTAGGAGCGAAGTCTGCCAACCATTCTGAGTTCTTGACTCCGACTCATTATAGCTTTTCGTATCAGGCAGTTAACGATAATAGTGTAAGAGTATTTATTTATAAATGCAGGGTGAAATAGACCAACGACCTTCAAACCCTCCGGTCGGATCGGTCTGGATCGCCAACTTATCAAGGGTACAAAAGTAATTACTAAAGAGTCTGACAAGCCAGAGCTATCATTTTCCTAACTTATTCGGGGACTTTCCATCTTCAAAACGTCCAGCCATTTTCTAATTGTTCAAGGTTGCTATTGCTGTTCGTTATAGTTTTTTGCACTTCTTCTCGGCGAAGTGGCTCTCGTTCTCCTTGAACTTTCCGGGAAGATCAAGAGACATTTGCTCTCTGAACAGCATGAACCTTTTAAGTATCTTGAGCAGCCCTATAAACATTTTACGACTGTGTTCAATGTTATTTTTTCAAAGTAAATCAACGTATCCCCAACGTATTTTAAAGATATCCAGTATCTTTCGAGGTACAGCTGTAAAAATACTGTCTAGTGGATAATTAATTACCAATGTGGGGAAAGTAATTCTCGCCTTTGATATAGCATTTAGATTTTTAGATAGGATGTGATACAACTTTTCAACTTATCTTATATACCTACAACTTTTGGTTGTAAAGATGAAGGTTTTAGAAAACATACAACTTTAAGTGTACTTTGATTCACCAGGATCACACGGCTAAAAGTCTGATGATTTGTGTGATTTGAACTCGAACCCATCTATATAGCTGTCTGGGCCCAAAATTTCATGACAGTTTGAAAACTGAACATGGATTTACTTAATTACTTTCAAGTTTCTTTTAATAATTATTTTTAACCGGTACCGACGAAAACCTACTTGCCTCACCTATAGAAACTTAAACAAATATTAGGATTAAACTAAATCTTCTATCATACGTATTTCTTTAATTTTATTTTTTAGCTAAAAGGTCATATTTAAAAAGTACATACTGCATTATTGCATTGTTCGTAATGCCTCAAAGACAAATTTTGAACCCTATTAAAAATGTGCAATTGGCGCAAGAAATACCTTCAGTATCAAAAAGTCAATGATAATACAAACACAGTCAAACGAGTTCTTATAGAAAGAATGACAGAAATTTGATTTTCCCTCGTTCTACGAAAGTTTTTTCAGTATGAAACATATAGTTATCCTTTTACCTTATTTTGTCACTTTTAGGTATAGGCGTCAAAAAATTGTATATAATTAGGTCGTTTTATTTGATCTAAAATGTGTTAAACCCGTAAAAAACTAGAAAATAAGATAAAGAATAAACGCATCGTGCGTAGCTAGTCTATGATTATTCAGCTAGTCCAATAAGGTGGTAAATTTATCGGAGAGGTATATAGTTTTATCCACATCCAAAGCTTAAACACAACGAGTATGAACATTGATTTATCGGGTCAATTATATTCAAACGGCATATCAAGTAGATTAATCTATTACAAACGTTGTCGATAATCTATCAAAACGCAAAGGCAGACTCAATAACATACGCAGACACAATATAACGAGTTTTTATAATTTAAAATACTTATGTAATATGTCAATACTACGTACATGCGAAGACTTTTTGCCCCTTGGTACGATTACGTAAGATTCTCCTCCCGTCTTCCTGGTTCAGTTCAGTAAAACAACTTGTCCCCTGAGGGCGAAGCCATGGGGAGACATGCGTCGGTGGAACGACCTCCACGAGAATTATTGTCAGAAAAATATGTATATTTATAGAATGAAAATCAAAGGGGATTAATTAAACAGGGGATATTTGTGTCACATAGGTAAGCTTAATCCAAATTAATGACAAAAATATTAATGGAAGTTAAGGATCTACAATGCACATATTATGCGGTTGTGAATTAAAAATATGTTTTTTGTACAAAAAAGAGGAAAACGTTATTCTTAGGAATTATTTCCTTACACTTCACTGAATCTTTCATTTTAAGGTATGGATAAAAATAGAAAACTATGTGAGAACTCATTATGAAAAATAGTCTTGCAAACATTTTAGCCATTAAAATCGTACTAAAGTGTAAGTCGAGATTCTCAGCAATTTGTACATGAGATTGTTGTTTATTTCAACTTAATTACGAGTTGTTATGAACAACCTGGTTGAGAATGCTTATTAGCAACACCAGTCCTAACTTTAGATAATCATACACGTATTTTTGTCCTTGAAGTGTACTTCTAGAGAAATCTTAAAATCTATACCATTGGTTCACGCGGTGAATTTTCTACCCTGAACGCCTTTCTTCCTAGTGTTTTAATATAATTTTCTCGGATTCGAGTTCATAATTTTTGTAATAATTCCATATTATTCTTTCTTCATGCAACTAACAATGTATAATGCAATAGCTGTACATTTGCATCGCTGACTTTACACTCTTAGTTGTTTTAAACATTTCAACTTTTTGAAACCCTGACGATGTGGTGGTTTTTTTTTTACTATTTAGTGGCATTTTCCTCGTAATTTCTACAAAATAACACTAATTTCATTCGTGACATTACGTATTTAATCAAGCGACTGTAATTGACGAAGAAAAATGTTTTTAAATAAATGATCAAATCTAACATCCTTAAAAATAGACATCTTAGAAGAGTTTTCAAACGACAAAAATGTAATATATAGGAAATATAAAAAAATCATAATCAATGTCTTTGATATATTTAACATACAACCAATTTTAACCCAAAATTACTTAGGACAATTTCTTAGGTGCAGAATGTGATTACTGTAGACCACAACTGAAACCTGCTATACAAGACACAAGACCATTGCCACTGGACCTGCGAAATAATGATGGACTGTCTTTGCGGTCAGTACAGTGGTAATCCTTAGTAGTAACCCAGTAACCCAGTAGTAACCATCCTTATTGACTTAAAGGTTTCAAATTGATTATTCTGAAGTATAGAAATATAAGTGATAGTGACATAATTTGTGGATTTTAATCAATAATAATATTGTTCCGTAATTTAACACCAGTGGCATTACGTAAAGGTTTAAGCAGGGACCGTAAACCCTGGTATTGTTGCTATGTATAGTGAACATTTGTTTAGATAAATTTATTAATTGATAGCCCGAACAAATGGTGTTAGGTCCGGAATTGATTCTGTGACTGAACCAACAACCATCTGATTTGATGGTGAACACTACAACATTGCTAACCAAAAATTACTTTTTTGTAATTAATAAACGGTATCAGCATTCTGACACATACTTTCTCCCATAAGTTTGTTAACAACCTTTATTATGTGTAAGCGGTGAGAGTAAATATACGGAAATGGGATTTGTACAATTTTGTTCAGAATTTAAAGGACTATAACATACAAAACTTTTATCAAAATTGTTCGGGCCATTTTTGGGAAAATCTGATTTTTCTGTTATTTTATGGGGGTTTTATGGGAAAATGACATAATTTACAATAAATTTTGAACCGTAATTTTTACAGAAATGTGATTTGTACCATTTTGTTCAGAATATAAAGGACTATAACATACAAAAGTTTTATCAAAATCGTTCGAGCCATTTTTGAGAAAATCCTATTTTTCAGTTATTTTATGGGGTTTTATGGGAAAATCCCCATAAAAATACAAATTTCTAAAAAATTAAAAAAACTATCAAAATTGTAACGACCATAACATACTATGTTAAATCAAAACAGGATTTTTTCTAAAATCCTATTTTTTGTTATTTTATGGGGGTTTTATGGGAAAATAACATATTTGACCATAACTTTTGAACCGTAATTTTTACAGAAATGGGATTTGTACCATTTTATTCAGAATTTAAAGGGTTACAACATACTAAATTTTTATCAAAATCGTTCGGGCCATTTTTGAGAAAATCCAATTTTTCCGGTTTTTTATGGGTTTTTATGGGAAAATCCCCATTAAAAATCAAAATTTCAAAAAAATGAAAAAAACGCCTGGAGATACCATGGATTAGAACCTACATACCAAATTTCATCGAAATCGGACCACAGGTG